ATTCAAGACCTAAAAACGAACAGATACACTAGTAACTGTACACAGATACAGAATTACAAATTTGGTAAAAAAAAACCATTATTTTGCTTTATTAAGTAATGGCGCATTTTCAAATCGTTTCCGCAGTATTGGAAGTAAAATTTAGCTTTAGTTCGGCCACAATGTTGTAGCGGAACACAAAGAGCGGAAATTTCGTCCCATGAGGCTTCATTAGAACAAAGTTTTAATATGAAACAGCGAAATCACGACCCGTCTGTTCTCTATAATAGGATTTCATGTAATGGGATTTCTGGTTTGACGTAAGGATGTCACAATAAGGTTATATTACGAATATACCTAGTCAGGTCATAAATTCTGTCACATGTTTAATGTAAAATAATTGAAACAAGTTTATTCATTATGTAACCATTCATATACCAAAATGAACTTAACAAAACATAGATTCTTATGACGGTCTTTTTTAAGCGTCCACTCCATATTTAAAAATGAGTAAAATTCTAAAAGTATACATTTTTATTTTCATGAACAATTCGAAATTCGAATTCAATAAACTTTTTTGTGGCCAGCACTCTAAAAGAAAAGTTTTTACTGTGTGACAATACTTATGACCTGACTAGTTATATAATGCATATGTAGTAGTCACTTTAAATTATTTGTACGGAAAAGGCAAATGCCAATACACTACAAATTTGTTAAAACGTTCCGATCCGGCGGTAGATTCTGCGAAGCACTGCTCTTGCTAGGGCTAGTGTTAGCAACGTCGTCAGGTTTGAGCACCGTGAGCTCAGTTAAGGAAAGTAGTACCAGCTTCTTCCATTTGACTCCATACAGAGGAGGGCCGTTCGGATTGTCGATAATCCCATTCTCACGGATCGTTTGGAACCTCTGGGTCTGCGGAGGGACTTCGGATCCCTCTGTATTTTGTACCGTATGTTCCATGGGGAGTGCTCTGAGGAATTGTTCGAGATGATACCGGCATCTCGTTTTTACCATCGCCCCGCCCGCCACCGGAGTAGAGTTCATCCATACTACCTGGAGCCACTGCGGTCATCCACAGTGCGTTTCCAGAGATCTTTTTTGCCACGTACCATCCGGCTATGGAATGAGCTCCCCTCCACGGTGTTTCCCGAGCGCTATGACATGTCCTTCTTCAAACGAGGCTTGTGGAGAGTATTAAGCGGTAGAATCAAACGATTCATTAAACATCGATTCATTTTCAAATGCCTTTGAATCAAATGAATCCGAAGCCGAATTTTCAAATGCCTTTGAGTCCGCAAATTATCGATAAGCCATTTACAAATTGCAGAACGAACTCCCGTGTTCATAATTTGATGGAGGATTTTAGTTTACAACAGCTTTGGCGTCATGAAATTCAGTTAGAATTTCTCGCGTCTACTTTATTGAGTGATAATTAATTATTATAGTCATTAAAAACTAATGGTCTCTGTATGAGACACATACTGGCATGTTAATTAATTCCATTATACGACCTAAAATTAGGTTATTCTTTATTAATTACTGGTTTTTACGAAAGATTCCTTGGGTCGATTATGTTAATAGTTTACTTCGTGACGGATGGGTACGTGTCACCATCTAGGCTATTTCTGCCACCACTCACCATTAGGTGGAAATCGTCATGGCCTAAAGGATGGTGCATTCGTGTTGAGCGATGTACCGGTGTTCGAACCTCAGGCGGGGGTACCAATTTTTGTAATGAAATACATACTCGGCAAATTTTCACGATTGACTTCCACGGTAAAGGAATAAGATCGTGTAATAAAAATCAAACCCGCAAAATTATAATTTGCGTAATTACTAGTGGTAGGACCTCTAGTGAGTCCGCGCGTGTAGGTTCCACCAAACTGCCTATTTCTGCCGTGAAGTAGTAATATAGTAACTATACTTCAGACCTTAGAGCTTATATCTCAAGGTGGGTGGCGCATTTACGTCGTAGATGTCCATGGGCTCCAGTAACCACTTAACAACAGGTGGGCTGTGAGCTCGTCCACCTACCTAAGCAATAAAAAAAGAAGGTGGGTGGTTGTATACTCGTCTACTTTTGCAGGCAGACGAGTGTTTGCCATTGCGGGTAATCAAATAAAAACTACGGTGCCTTAACAAAAGGGTCCTGCTTCACAGTGAAGTGCTCAAAGCTGTTTTAGATTTCCTCATTTCCCAGGTATGAGTAACGGCGATATCGTTTCGGGAATCCACTGTTATCGGCGAGTGACAGTGTGTGACGGTCCACGAGGTCAAGGCACGTCGTTGGCACGATACCAGGGTTCGGATGACAAGTTCACTCTTCAACCCTCTTGAATTCCGTTACCATTTGGTGTATTTAATTTGATTTCAAACTGTTCATTTACCAACAGTCCTACACATGGACGGTCGAATTATTGTAGTAATAATGTAATAATGACCAATGATTATCATTTACCATTTGGCTAGCTTTTTTATTTAAAAAAAAATTTCAACAGCTGCTGTTCAATGAATAGTTTACTAAAGCATGACAAAGGAGGCCAAAATCTTCAAAGATTTTTTTTAGTGCTAAAAAAACATCCTTCTAGCTATCAATATCAAGTGACACATTCATTCATATCATAATTATGCGCATGTACTTGGCGAGTGTCTGAGTAATGTTTTTCTCGAGTTGATTCTTCGAAAACCTTGACGACTTTCCCTTTACGAATGGACAAGTAAGACACATTTGGTCACTGATTCATTTTCAGTCGGATATATCGGGATTTCAAGTTTTACGAATATCATGAGAATTCCTAAATCTATTTGCAGCAATATTCATCTGATACGAAGTACTTTAATATAATTTTATTAATTTTTCCCATATTAAACATTTAAGTACATTATTCCTTATCCTATATTTAGCAGTTCACAATAAACAGCAACTATGAGTTATTAATAAAGGGTGAATAATAGTTGTTTGTTTAGATAACGGAAATATATAGATTTTTGCGACAAACCTATAAACCGAAAGCTTAAAAATCGGACAGCAAAAATGAACTTTTCCATGAATACCGAAAGCTCTCGCAACAACACCCATTTTAACATGTACACATAATTATGTATGTGTAAGAGTGCCGAGGCGAAGGTGAGCGGGCTCAAAAGACTTGATGCCGTGCCAATCCCGCACGCAGAAATAACAACACACCTTATGCATTACATGATTTATCAAAAAAACAGTTTATGAAATTTGTAAACATCGCACGTTCAGTCGAATCAGGCGTACCTTTTGAAAACTGTTCCTCTAGATTCGATATCGGGAGTGGATTGACAATTTTGCGGTAGGCAGCGGCTTGGCTCTGCCCCTGGCATTGCTGAAGTCCATGGGCGACGGTAACCACTCACCATCAGATGGGTCGTATGCTAGTCTGCCTACAAGGGCAATAAAAAAAAAAAAAACTAGTATTATTGACGGTAGATCATTCTCCTGCCCTTCTCCCTGTAACCTGGAGTCGGCGCAATATGTTTTCTCCTTCCGTACTCCTATAGCATATACCATTTCTTCGCTCACTCCCCTCTTACACACACCGTCTTTCACGCAATCCATCTATTTCTTCTTAGGTCTACCTCTTCCAATATTGGCGGTAGAGTTATGAAGGATGAAAAAAATGAGATGAAGGTTTTTCGGAAATACCTTTGCCTTCGTTAATTCGAGGAAAAATATAGATTTATTGATACTACATATATACTAATCTATCGTACGCTGATGGTGGTACTATAGTAGACACCTTCCCTGGAGTGCCAACAACAGCTGTGCCAGTTTCATGACCACCTTATTATGGGTAAAAAATTAAAAAAGGGAAAAAAATACGTATGCATAATTTGTTTTCTATGTAGGTACGTAACTTATTGTATAAAATCATACATTCTGTTTTTCAATCTTTTGGGGCAAAATTTCTAAAAACTCTTTCCTTGTTGTGGTTGGCTTACGTAATAACTGCCAAAATTTGAAGTTTGCAGCGTTTTAGGAACTGCGTTGATGAACCAGCCATACATACAGCCAGATAGGACAAGTATTAACCTATATCTATTTATAGAAAAAAATACATATGTACGTTTGCTTACAAAACTGTCGCAATACGAAACAATAAACATGTAAATTGACGGTGTTTCCATTCATTATCCACAGACACCTGTCGTATAATTACTTGGGTATTGTTGAGCGGCTGGTGGGTAATTAAGATGCGAGAAACGACCGTTCGAAGCGAAGGATGAGCGCACGTTGATGTCGGACGCAAGGACTCTGGACGAGTACATGGTTCGCTCTGGTATACCTTAATTTTAAATTTTTAACCGTTGCTATGTTACCGTAATTATTTTACGCACATTGTTACTTGATTTAGAATGTAATAACATTCAGAAATTAAGTAATTAGGTTAAAAGAGAGCAAAAAAGTAAGAACGAAGATCATTTTAAACATTACACGCCTTTGAGATGTTGCCGGATAAAACAGAAGCGCACGGCAGCGTATTTGCTGAAATTATACGATCTCAAACTGAATTATTGAATAAAAGCCTTGCTGGCTGGCTAGTTCAATGGCTTTAAATTAAAAAGGATGACGTATTATATACAAGGACATGAATTATTGCGAGTACACTCACGACATCAACGAACGAACGGATCACGTGACGTGAATTTCGAAGTGGTCTGCGGCTTAGCCTCGGCGGGGATCGCGAGCAAAGAGAACGAGTAGAAAACACGACCTCGACGAGGACGTCAGCTTCTTTATCGCAGCCGCACGATATCTGACAAACATTCGGGCGGCGTTGTGCAAAGTAAATACACATGACCTTGTAAACGAAAAGAACTCGCCGGCTCTGTGAGATAACGCCACTCTTTATCGACACTATACTAGATGTCAGATCTAGATAAAGATTGGCTCCGATGAATCCTAAGCTTATTTTGTTGTCTTTAAGGTATCATTTTAATAAAAAATTACTTGTTAAGTCAGAGTTGCGTAAGTTTAATAATAGAGCACTGACCTGCGTGACCATGTCCCAGTAGAAGCCGTCGAGCATAGACTTGCCATGTTGATGTTGCCTGCAGAGAGCGGGCCAAAGCGATGCTCGGACCGGGCTGTTGATCGGCCAGGAATTTTCTCTGATGATCAGCTTGAGCTCGCGCTTGCGACCTTGCTGAATCAGCGGTTGGATCTCTTCGAAGTTTTTAAGGGGTGCTTTCTTGCCTGCGAATAACGGCGAAGGTAAGCACTGCGTCCATATTTGCGTGGTGGTTTCGGAAGCGGCGAGGGACTCGGCGCTGGGTGCGCGAAACGCGGCCGGTTCTATGTACATCGCACTAGAAGCGCGGGGCACATGCTTTCGGTGCGCGCGCGCCGGCGGCACTGCCGCCTACCACGTCAAGCTCGGCAGCCTCCGGAAAATGCGATAGCGCCCAACACTGTCACACTTCGATTGTTTATTTGACCGTGTGACGCGCGCACCGGTCTTTTGGACCGGCACGCGCCGCATGTGTTTTCAAAACTTTATAAATAGTTAAGTGGGTAAGTGGTAAAACGTATTCCGAGGAAGATTTAAAATTATAAATAAATTTAACTAATTAATCTCTAACATCAATAGGAAATAAACGACGCTGTCACTTTACTTTGCCTTATAGTGAAATTTCCTATTTGAACTACACATAAATTACACAAACAAAACGTATGTAAACAGCACACAATAACATCATGAGCATTTGTATAAATAGTTATCAAATCAGAGCGAAACTAAATATCTGGATGCGTGCCAACCGAACGAAATTTTCGTAGTGCGTACGTAATTGTGGGTCGAGAGCTTGTGATACTTATGTACTAGGGCTGTTCTTACGGCAGTTAGTTTTAACGTGCATCTGGATGTCAAAAGTCTTGCGTAGCAATTACAGATTGGTGTTCTTCAATCGATATTATATACGTTAGGTACTTAATATTCATCGGACGTGAACTCGAGCCAACGGACAATGACTCGACGCTATTAAAAATGTACCATCTATTGATTTGCCATTAGTCGATTATGCCGCGTGGACCGTCAACTTCAATTGACGTGTATTGGTATTGTTAACGTGATATTAATTTTACCTTAGCTATTAAGTGGCCAATTATTATGAAGCGAATTTTTATTTATAGTAATTGTAAACAAACTATTTCGTCGTGCAATACATCTTACGGGGTGTGAGAAAGGTGTGCGCCCGACTGCAGAGTAATAAAATACGAACGTAAGAAGCACACCTGGTTTATATCACAACCAATATCACGGTCAGAATAATTGAATGGATTCATTGAAGAATCGAAGCAGTAAAGAATGAAGAAATATAAGTTGATTCTAATGTGAAAGATACAAGCTTAGTTACGGTTTGTATCAAAACTGTCGATTTCCTATTTGATTGTGGAAGATAGGCAACAATCAAAGAAGAAAACAAAAACCGACGGAATCACAGCCCACCTAGCACACGACGCGGCAGAATTAGAATTAGACCCGAGTATCCGATGTAGCTGAGCAGGCTCAAAAATACTAGTGAACTAGGAAAAACTTATAATAAGTCATATTGTTAAATCTTATTTCCCTTCTCTTTAATTCAATGCAACGAAAATAGTGAGGCAACAAAAAAAAAACAAAGAACAAACAGGTCGAAAATACCTCCGTCGCCAGACGAAGTGTTAAGTAAACAGTGATAACGCGAGGTTATCTACGACTGCAGTCTCATGTCGAGCCAACCGATTGACACACACTGTGGCTATTTTAAACTGTAACATGCAATAATCGTGGCACGAATGCAACGTAATTAATACCGATTAATCGCTCATTTCAAATGCTTTGTTTGCAATTTAAATTACTTTTTCAAATTTGAAGAGATTATGATAACTAGTGGTATCCCAGTAGTCGAAATTCGACTATAATTACATAATTGAAATTATAAGTTTAAACATTATTATAGTTCTATTGTCAAAAACTATACTTTTATAATCACAGATTTCACCAAAGTTTTACTGTAGATAAATAATATTAAAGACAAACAATATTAATCTACTCTCAATTTGACCACAGACTTTAAACAATATCAAAAGTTTGACAATAAACACAGAGTAATATATAATATGTGTGTTGTGTCAAATATATGGTAGTGTATGTAATGTTTTATTTTTATTGATTTAAGGTATTATTTAGGCATAATAATAAAAAATTAGCATTTCGCAAAAAGGGGTACAAAGTTTTTGCTTCACGTATTAATTAATATATAGATTTACTGAAATTGTTGATTTTCGTGTTTGTCGTCTATTAATTAAAGTGAATGTTTGTAATGTTTGTTTGTTCCCCTTGTGTGTTGAAGCGACCATCGTACCGACTATCAGTTAGAAATAGATACAATAGACGAGTAGGATATTTGTTAATTCTATGTAATTAAAATTTTAACCTTATAATCCTGGTATTGAACATGTCCACAAGCCAAGGTGAACATTGATGATCAGTGTGCTTGATGAACAGCGCCACTAGCGGCAAACGTAGGCAAACGTTCCAACTCCATACAAATTAGAGTTAACTTTTACGCTATCGAGAACGTTAAAAAACTCTCACTAAACACACAGATGGACTGTATACTTTACAGGCTCCTATAATTGTTTTTTTTTCTTTTCTTAGATGAGTGGACGACCTCACAGCCCACCTGGTGTTAAGTGGGTACTGGAGCCCATAGACATCTACGACGTAAAATGCGCCACCCACCTTGAGATAAAAGTTCTAAGGTCTCAAATATAGTTACAACGGCTGCCCCACCCCTCAAACCGAAACCGCATTACTGCTTCACGGCAGAAATAGGTTGGGTGGCGGTACCTACCCGTGCGGACTCACAAGAGGTCCTACCACCAGTAAGTTTAAAACCTGTATAGCTCTAGCGCCCGCCTACAAAAATAGGTTAACAGTTTTCTTTCTAACGAAGCTTAAAACTGTATAAACAGTCTTATTGTCATCACAAACATCAAACAAGTCACGAGTGGCGCACGGAACATTATATATAGATATATAAATTATAGCAGACGAAAACATTTCAAACTATCCAGCGTTTACGTTTCTTTGGCAGGTTCATTGACAGATGGCATTACATCACTCGTGTTTATTGTTTTGTTTTCTATTTCACGGAGGGAAAGAGATAGCTATTTTCGTTCCAAATAAATTTCTAATCAGTGGTATCTATGCTAATATATAAATCTACAGTGGTGTTTACGGATGTTCCGTTATAACTACTGAACCGTGCATCCGATTGATTTGAAACTTGGTATCCATGTAGAAAATACATGTACTTAATGGATAGGCTAATAATTATAGTGTTGGACTCCCTATACCAGTTGCGGGGGCGTTAATGATGAGAATCTTTGTGGGGGCTGAGAAATAATAATGTTAATTTTAAATGCAAAGCGAAGCGAACGGGTACAGCTAGTAGTACATAAAGTTCTTTAGAGGCGCGAGTGATCCAGTCTCACAAATCAATTTTCGTAGTTCCGAAATACTCAGTCGTGTTTAGCAACGCAAGAAGCGTCACGTCCTTACGGATCCATCAGATCCAATAACCTTTGCATTAGACGTCTTCAGCGCTAACACTAGGAGTAGGCTTAGGAACCCCGGTAACCGTACTCGTCGAAATCAACAAAGAGGTCGACGTGCAACCTAACCCATGCAACAGCCCGCTGAGTTTCTCGCCGGATCTTCTCAGTGGGTCGCGATTCCGATCCGGTAGTAGATTCATTCGCGAAGCAATTGCTCTTGAGTTGTTAGGTCTCCTTCGGAGGCGCTCGGACAGTTGTTAGCAAATCCCACCCCTCCTGGCTGAGCCTTAGCTCACCCACATGTCCTGGTGAAACTGGAACGGTCTCCGGGCCACCAGTAATCTATCAATATAAAAAAAAAAGGAAGATAGCGCCGGACGTCTTGTGTACAACTGTGTCCGCCACAAATTTTACAAGTTTCTTGTTCTTATCTTTTGTTTTCGGCATGGATAATGTATTTTCGATAAAATGATATTTATATAAAACTGAAAACAGTTTTCGGTACTGATAAACAATTTTCTATTAGCTGTAACTTTTCATGGCAAAGTAATGACTCATTGAGATTATAATTAATTTCCTGTATAGAAGAATGTAGAGTCACACTTGAATTACTCATAAGATACAAGTATTATCCACAATCCGATTGCAGCTATCTTAAAACGTATTTCCTATACTTTTTGTTTTAATAATATTTCTCGACTAGCTGTGTCCCGCGGTTTCACAACATATTATTTCTTCCGTCTAAGTCATGTCAAATTTCAACATTCTCAGGCTTGTAACCGTATCTTTTGTACAAAGTTGCTTCGTAAAAGAGGAACTATTTATAAAGACAATTAGACGTTATAATTTTGCTCTAATCATCATTAAACTTTTATCTAACTCGTGAGTAGCTGGAATAAGCGCTTAGACTATCAGCGATAAGGTAGGTTGAAGAAAGCTTTATCGAGTCAATTGTTTCAGGGGTAGATCGGACGTGAGTTGTTTATTTAAGTCACACATATGTACCTAAATATTGGGACAGTAGCCCTAACGATCTCCTGAAGTAACTGAATACCGTATACACAAACCACAAAGTGAACGCCGGTGATCATGAAACGTTTGGTCTAAGTCTCTAATCGGTCTTAGTCTAAAATTATAATCGAACCGCGTGAATGACTCGCGCCAGAAATAGAAAAGATACAGGTACCACCATACCTGAACGGGCTTACGATACACGCTAACGCCGATAATTACGAAAATTTATAATTCAAAGGTCGTTTCGTGATCTTGGCTAAAGTAACTATTTATTTATAAAATTCCATTATAATTTTCGCATAGTCGCATCATTTTTTTTCCTACCTAATCTGGTTAGATTATAGAACTAACGTTAGAACTGTTAAGGAAGAGATAAGGTAGACAGGGACTAAGTACAGAACTCGGCTGGAAAACCACCCAAATACCCTAGCTAATGCGTTGACAAAAGTCAGTTACATCAAACGTCTGAAACGTCATGATATACAGGGAGTTGGTGACAGACGGTGATCAATGAGGAGCCTCTTCGACGCGATGGCACACGCAATGCATCTGCTCATAGTCCAGGACTGATCGCAGATAGGCACATAAAAAAAAAACCTCATTTGGTAGCTTGAGAGGCTATGCCAGCATAACCGAAC